AAAACAAAATAATTAGTGTAATATTTTTATTTTTGTTTTGTTTTTATAATTTATGTTCAATTCAATGTTTTTAATCATTTCGCCTCAAACAAGGCAATAAAGCCACAAGGGGTTACTGAGTGCTAAAAAATATGAGAAAAATGTTCTAGTAAGGAGAGAGGACAATAAAAGAGCAAGAATTAAGAAGACAGAAGATAATGATTGACATTACATTTAAATTTTTGAAGATCAAAGTTGACAGGGAAGCAAAAAGCCGGAAGAAAGTTTCACAAGCGAGAAGAGCGATAGAAGAAATTGTTAGCATAGAATTTACGGTTACATTTAGCTATTTCACCTGTAAAGTGATGAGACCTTTATCCATTACAATTTCCGCACATGCAAGCTTATAGTACCTGGTATTCCAAAGCGGTCACCCATCTAGGTACTGATCAGGCTCGACATTGCTTAACCGGTGATTGTACAGAAACCAGTGTTTCAACGTGATGCGGCCGCAAGCCTAATTCAGGAAAAAGTGATTATCTTTATAACGTATGAAAAGTATTAAGTAAAATGAAACATTTGACGCAGGAACTCTGAAGTGGTTAAAAAACGAGAAATATTCTTTATGTACCAAAATAATTCAGTTTTAATCGAATGAATCTTGAACATTTAATGACATTAAATAAGGCGTAATGTCAAACTGGCTGGAAATATTAGTGAATAACGCAAGCCACAGATAATTGTGTTTATTTATTTTTAGTATCCGTTTCAACTTGTAAGAGTTCAAGACAAGGAAAAGAATAATTAACAAAATTGACAAATGTGATGTTTCCACTAATCGCCTATCAAAAATATAAAATGTTGGTTCTAACCAAATTATTCAGTGACTTGTATATCATCTTGCTACTATAGTGGATACTCTTTTTCTCCACGTAAAGAGTGATTATTATTTACTAAGCTTGGTTTAACTAGATTAAATGTATGAGGTATTCAGGTGAGGATCGGCACACTATTTACTACTCCTGGTCAACCAGATACCCTTCCTAACCGTTACCTGACGCCGAGGTGCTCCAAAATATAAACACTTAGCTCAGGTGCACACAAGGCCATAACTATGAGGCAACCGGTGAGGATCAAACTCATGACTCAGTAGTAATGTTCATCCAGACTAATTCGTTAATTAATATTTCCCATTCAGGTGGTCATGTCATTTACTAAACTTAGCTTAGTTTGACACAAGGTCGCAAGTTTAAGGCACCCAGTGAAGACCGAACGTTAATGATTCCCTATTGAGGTGGTTATGTTGCTATTTATTAGTAAAGGATCAACCAGACTACTCACTACCCTTAAACAGACTAGCTCTTCACATCTACGCATTCTAAATATTTAAGAAGCTTTTCTTATTTGAGCACACGGCTACTAGAATGGGGCACCCAGTGAGGATCGAAAAACTAATCAGACTAGCTCGTTAACCATTTCCCCACACTGAGACAAAATCTGGTTATTTGAGTGTTATCAGTTATTCGCCAATTCGTCTGCGACAGTTTGCACGAAATTAAACAGGGAGCAATATTCGACCAACCCTAACTGCGCATGTGTGTGAAGTGGGAAGCGAGAGGGGGAAAAAAAAAGCTCAGATGGAATTTGAACATGTTTCGCTGTATCCATTTTTTTTACGTGTTCCTCATTTGGTCAACTCTGAATCTCAACTGAATGCTTAATAAGAGAGTTAAAACTTAAATTAAATCCTCATGTAAATAAGATACGCGTTTATAAAGGAAAACATTGCTTACCTCCCTTGGAACCCGCACAAAGTAATCTAAGTGTTATGAAAGTATTTAATCACTTCCTGGCTTTTTTTTTTCGGAGCAGGAAGAACAAATTGACAAAATTTATTTCCTGTGCTCCGCTCTACATTCGCATTCATAATCTTACATTGCATAAAAAATGGAGATGGCATCCTAGAATATTTTTTTAATTCACCCCAAGCAAGGCGATAATGCCAGTTAGACGCAATGGACTACTGAGAGTGATAGAGAATAAGAAGAGTTTAGAAGGAACAGGGAACAAGAGATAAAAATGTCTACTTCTGTTCTAAACACTCGGGAGGAGTGTGAACCGGACGATAGGCAAACTTATCTACTTCTATTGAAGGAAATTATAGTAAATAATTTTTCAGAATTTAAGCGGAGACGTTAGAAATATAGAGTTGCAGTAAACTTTAGAAGGAACTGGAAAACCAGCCATAGACAGGAAACAAGGGTTAAAGCTCTAAACCTGTACAAAAGACCGGGGAGGAGTGTGAACCGTGCGATAGGCGAACCTATCTGATCCTCTTGGAGGAAGAAAAAAAAGTAAATGTCAAAGTTTAGGCGAACCTAATAACTCATATTGAAATTCGTTTAGTTTTATTTAGTTTTATCATATTGATCATTATGGTTTAAAATGGAAGAGAGTAAGAATAAGTTGTTGCAGATCGTCTAAAGTAGGGGTTCTCAACCGGGGTCCACATGGACCCTAAGAGTTCATGTAATATTTCTGGGGGTCCACAGGCAAAATATAACAAATTGGGGGTCCACAATGATATTTTGGTGGTCCATAAAGAAAGCCAACTCAGAATGGTTTTTATTATTAAAAATTAAATTTCTAATGTAATTTAAATTACATTGAAATATATTCGCAATAGATATGTGTCCCTTTAAACAATTCTGATGGGCAAGTCTGAGACAACACTATGCTGTAGTCTGTGCCATCTTCCAGCCGTTTTTTTGTTACCTTAGACCAGTCGTTCTCAACCTTTTCTTTTCTTTTACCCATGGACTCCTTTTCCCTTCTTTTTATATTGGTGGATCCCTTAATAGCTATTTGACATAAAACAACAAACTTCTATTTTTCACTAATAAAAATATTGAGGTTTTAATAATCAAAGAAATATTATATAATTAAGCTTTATTTTTAAATGAAAACTAATTTAATGAAAATAAATTATTCTACTATTACTACTACTACAACTACTACTATCATCTTCATCATCATCATCTTGTATTACAATGTTCTTCTATAGTCAAGGCCATGGGGAGCAGAGCTCTTCAGGCAATTGAATTCACTACAGCATTTATTTATGCATACTGGTTAAAATTTAACTAACTTAATTTAAGTGAGTTATTAGAAAAAAAAAAAGAAAGGTATATTTATTCAATGAGATTCCTGTGGTTGATGCTGCTCAGCGAGTTTCTTTATATCTGGTTCCATCGAATGATAGTCGAAGATCACCTGTTTTCACAATGTCGGGTCGATTGCGAATATATTTCAATAGTGTAAATTACAGTAGAAATTTAATTTTTAATAACAAAAAGAAAAACCATTCTGAGTTGACTTTCTTCATGGACCACCAAAATATCATTGTGGACCCCCAATTTGTTATATTTTGCCTGTGGACCCCCAGAAATATTACATGGATCCCTAGGGCTCATGTGGACCCCAGTTGAGAACCCCTGGTCTAAGGCAACAAAAACTGGCTGGAATGTGACACAGACTACTACAGCATATTGTCTCAGATTTGCCATCGGAAGTCCTTGAAGGGACACATTATATGTAAGCGGCTTACAGTACTGCAAGAACCCTGATATTTTTTCTGCGTTTGGTGATCAGAACAGCCTCAGTAAGCGTTGCCAGAGAGTTGGACCAGTCGGGATGCATATAAGAAACTAGAGATAAAAAAAAAAAGATAAAAGCAAAAATAAAATAAGATGAAATTAAGAACAATACTGAACAATTTTTATTACTAGTCCCATGTACTGGTGACTTTTAAACCCGGCTCTGCGCCATATTCTGTTGATGGGCACTTGGATAAATTACTTACTTCACTCATTAAGGCTGTATGAATGGATGTTGGTTATTTTTTTTCTTCTTACTGAATGTAAAAAAAAGCTATCGTTAGTTATCGTAGATATATAATTAAAGTAACGACATCAAACTACGTATTTATTCTTATAGCAGAAGGGAAATATTTTTATCAGGCGATGTGGTTTTGTTTTTTCCTTGTTTTATTTTATTTAGATATTTAAAAAAAAGCGTATAAGGGTAGCCTCCCTTTAACCTTTAGTATAAAAGATTTATACATACATAAAGTAAAATAAATTCCATGTGATTTTTTGACATTGCTTTCCTTTTATAATTTGCTTTTATGGTACTAGTCTTTATTCTAAGAATGTTAGTCAAATGGGAATCACTCAATTTATTTATTTCAGCAATTTTGATATTTTTCATACACAAAAAGAATTCTTCACAGCAGTATGCAATACCCTAACAGTTTTCTAGATAAGCTAAAAATAATTTTTATTTAGTCATGGCTCTTGCCCCATGCACTAGCCGGTGTGTCTCGGCAAAGACCTTTACCCCCTTTCCCTTCTAGTGCAATCAGGAAGTGAACCTACTAGCACAATCTGAGAATAATTTTTCTCGGTGTACATTACTAAAGTAAATGAAAATATACCTCAAAATTTTAGGGTGCAGTGGCCCACTTAAAAATATGAATTGGGTTGGAAGTCCTTGGTTGAAAGGAAGACAGCCAGTCTTATAAGCTACTGTTAATGTGAGACCAGCGTCATGGTTTAAGAAGTTACTTCTTTTCAACCGTGCCAGGGCTAGGATTTCGAATGCTGATTTTCTAAGCAGGCAGACTTCCCACCTTAGAATGTTTATAAAATCATACGATCTCTCTGCCCATTTGGCATTGTGCCGTATTACACTAAGCTTCGGAAATATTAATTTGTCTTTTTACTGCTTATCAACCCTTAGAAGGTTATTTAGAGCCAGAAAATTTTATTGTGCAGTAAGAATTTTTAGGAAATGATACAAACTCGTCCTATTTAACCCATAGCTGGGCGGCGAGGTTAATTCATATTTTTCCCAAGTGTATTTGCGCGTGTGAATTCGTCATATTCCCGACTGGAATTTGAACTCGGCTCTCCGATTTCCAATTTCGAGCTGTTATCCATTATACCATCCGCACATCCAAGCTTACAGTACTTGGTATTCCCAAGTGGTCACCCATCCAAATAATGACCAGGCTCGACGTTGTTTAACTTCGGTGATAGTACGAGATTCGGTTTTCCAACGTGATATGGCCTTGAACCCGAATATATTGATAATGAGTTCAGTAGTACTACAAAAATAATAGCATGTGTTAGATTTGATTTATCAGCAAAAAATCCGAATCTTAGCATTAAAAGTTCCAAATTTAAATTTCAAATTAAAAGTTACAAATAATTAAATTTTTTAATATCCAAAGGATCTATCGGCGATTATCAGACATGGAAACCTTTTAAAACGAGGTATATCAAAATGTTTTTGTATGCATAAATTGTAAGATACCAGAAAGCTAATAATTTTCAATTACTAGATTTGGCATACAATACAATATTGTAAGAGAGTACTATTCAAATACAGTAAAATCTCAATTTAATGCTCCTTGATTTAAATAAGAGTTTTTAAATGATTAAAGTTAGATAAATGTTAGAACAAATTATTCATAGAGTCCGTGTTAAGTTACTAGGAACATATCAAACTTGTTTAGCTATAAATTTAGCTGGAAATGAAAAACGTTGCTAATGTCAGCTATTTTTAAAGACAGTTTTTACTATAAATTGCAGACTATACTTGGCAATAGTGTGTACGTTATATATATATATATATATATATATATATATATATATATATATATTATAATTTTATCATATAGACAAAAACAGTTTACTCACTACAAGGATGCAACTTCGTTTCGGTGCATTTCAATTGCACCTCGACGGGTGAGAACCAGAAATGGTTATGAACAATTCTGGTTGTAAGCAAGCTATATGTAAGCATCTTTGTAGTGAGTAAACTGTTTTGTCTATATGATAAAATTATAATAAATAATTATTGCTCTACTATCGGTATCGAATAGAATTTATATATTATTTTCGTTCTCATTTGCATATATATATATATATATATATATATATATATATATATATATATATATATATATATATATCAGTGTTTCGGGTTGTTTAATGCTCAGGCGTTAGACAATTGCATCTGCGTATTGACTGTCTTGGATTTAACAAAGCAATGTTCATTTAAATGCGGTGATCGACAGAATTTGCTTCGGATTTAAAGACCTAATTGTGAAAGAGAGTATGTTCCTAAGGAACACACTCCCTCCATCAATTATTTCTTTAATTTTACTATAAATAAATATTGTAATATTTTTCTGAGAAAATGGTATGTTCCTTATACCGCTCCATTAAGTACCTGACACCTCCTGCTATGCTCTATCATTCCAAGAGCCAGATCCAAGCAAAAATGGACTACTGCTACCATGCCTGGGCAGAAGCTTCTTCGTAGCCTAGTGGGTGATGAATTATTTTCTACCCTGCAACCTCTCTCACACGGATGAAACGTCATCAGACTTTCACTATTCTCTCGCTATTTCCATGGCAAATGTTCAGACGTGCGACATTGGTTAGTTCCATCAGTACTGACCATCACAGCTGCCATATATACCGGAATGAACTATCCACTTTCCTTTCGTATTCCATTAGTAAGGAAGAATTTCAATTCGAATAGCTTTTTACCAAGAACTGCTACTCTATGGAACAGACTCCCAAGAGGATGCTTCCCCAATCACTATTATCTTAGTCGCTTTAAGTATAGGTTTAACCGTTATCTTTCCTACATATCCTATTAAACTGCACTTCTTATCTCCTCTTTCTTACATCAACCTCAAGCAATAACCCTCTACCTTTAGTGACTCTTGTGCCTTGTATTAGGTGAACGTTGTATTGAAAGACTAAGAAATTGATGGATGATCAGTAAGAAGTCAATGTGTGTGTACTTATTTCGAGCTCTTCAAAGAACTGATTTATTGGTTTGTTTTTACGGCTTGTCAACACTTTGTGGTTTAACCGAAAAATATTTGCATTGTAAAAATAATTCTTGTTTTTTGTAAGTGAATATCGCATTGACAACTGAGAATAACAACGATTTTCCAAATACAAGTCTTACTGTTTAATCCATAGCTGGCGGGTGGAGAGAGATGCACTCCTTTCCCCAGGGGTATTTAAGCATAAGTGGATGACTGGAATTCGAACGCGGCTCTCCAACTTCTCATTCTACGCATTACACCACCCGTACATCCGGCTCTTCGGAGAAACACTGAACTTAAACCAGAACAAATTCTCTAAATCTCTGATCTTTATTGCGCTTATTAGAATTGTATATAAAACTACAAAGAAATCTAATTGCAGTCAAGGTTTTAGTTTATCTAAGATATCTTGTGCAACTCAAAGAAACTTTTCTTCTGCAATCGGATTCAGATATGCCTTTACTTTAAATTAAGATTGGAATTTGTTTGAATAAGTCCAATTTTAATCCCCAATCACATTTTAAAGTTATAGATGGAAACTAGTCTTAATCAGTGATCTTTGCTTCGTCGATATTAATAGAATTGTCAATGCAAATTATTTCGATTTTCCTGATGTAATTTAAAATCGCATAATGAACAACTTTCTGCATTTTATTTATTTATTTATTTGTGGTTGTATAAAACGCGACCAGAAATACTTACTTCATCCAAAGAGTCTAAAAAGATATTTCGACGCTGCAAAAAGAAAAATAGTAAAACATTTCCAAAACGATTTTATTATTCGAACGTCATATTTTTTCTTGAATTTTGTTCATGCTTCCCTCTGCCATTTGTCCAAATATTCACTTCAGAATCGACTGCCCCATTCACTGACGAAATATATTTTGCACCAACAATAAAATATGACGTCATATCTCTATGACAACCAAGCTGCAGCATTTTTTCGCTATTTTCCCCTAATAACACCTTTTCCGTTTCAATAAGTAAAACCGATTGATATAATTTCTCTGCAGATTCATTGCATGGAAAACATCTGTTCGCAATTTTATTTTATTTTTAAATCTGCTATCGTATATATTTTGTATTTTAATTTTGTGTCTCTGTTAATGGCATCTATTTCCACAAAAGAGACGCCTCCGGATTTCCTGCTTATTTATATTGTAATGATTAGGCGATAAACAGAGAAGCAGGCTTTATGATTAATATCTGAACAATCTTCTTAATTTTGCTGGAGACACAGAATATAATTTTGCATTATCGTCTAGAAAGAGATGTTTTAATATGATTTTCTGCGAGTGACGTCATGAGAATATTAGACGTCTGCAAAAGTTCCAGGAATTTTTTTTTATCAAACAGGGTGCCCTAAAATAAAAAAAAAATGTCTGTGTGCGAAGTGGTATGCAAAAGTATAAATGAGATTACTTTTTGATGTTCGCCCTGTATAAGCACCAAGAGCCACTCGAGGTAGAGTAAAAAATTTTTAGAAGAAGAGTTTTGGAAATGTTTTACTATTTCTTTTTGCAGTGTCGAAATATCTTTTTAGATTATTTGGATGAAGTAAGAATTTCTGGTCGCGTTTTATGCAACAACAACAACAACAACAAATATATAAATAACTAAAATGCAGAACGTCGTTCATTATGCGATTTTAAATTACATCAGGTGGGTGAAAGAGGCGAGCTTGGTTCGTTTGAACGGGGCAAGCCTTGATTTTCTCTTTTAGGTCAACCTATATCACATCGGGATGGTTTCCTACGGAGCCCTCCCTTTGGTTAGATTAGACAAGCCTTAGTGTACCTAGTTAATGAGAGTAAGTGTTGTTCCTGGCCTGTTCCCAGCTGCCTCTTTGGTTATGATTCAAGTCGAGATTCCCCACCCCCAGTTTGTTTTGGTCCGCCCTTTTTCATCTCGACTGGGTCAGCTTTATATTTTCCCATGCCCGTATTATTTCTTATCCTTTTCCAACACCCGTAGTGAGAGAGCTTCTTGATTTTGCCCAATGGGCAGAATACAGCGGCCTCTCCTTTTTAAGTGTTGGACGGGCCCTACTAACATCAGTTATGTTTAATTTGATTTGTGTTAATATTTCAGTTTGTTACTGGGTTCATCTCCCTCCCCTCTCATTTTTTCATGACAGATTTTATATATATTTTACTATCATTAAATTTTTATGGCATGGTGCGCGTTTTGTAGGTCCCCCAAGAGAGGATGTGGTATTATGGTGCATGAAGGATTGATTGGTGATGGACGAGTTCTTGTGGTGAATGGGTAAATTGTAATGAGTGAATGGGTCGTGAATCGGATTAGCTAGGTATAAGATAGTTAGTGTGGACCAGCCTTAACCCATCCCCTTTTTCGGCCTTGTGACACAATTATGCAATTTTTACATAATAAATATCTAGAGTAAAAGTTACAGAGTATAGGGCACACTTTATGGGTATATGTGGCCAAGATAACTGTTAACCCTAGACTTGAACAGGTTAAGACTGTAGTGATCGGGGAAGCAACATCTTGGCAGTCGGTTCTACAAAACAGAGGTTCGTGGGAAGAAGCTGATCGACTGGAACTTATATCTCGCCAATGGAATCCGAAGAGTATTAAAGTGTTTGTCTACAATGTACGTAGCATCGCGGGTCCTTGCCGTAAATGTTACAACTGTTAGAACTACGGAATGTAGTTTGTCTGAACATTTTCCATGAAAATAACGATGGAAAAGCGAGAGGCTTGCGATGTTTTGTCTGTGAGAAAAGAGGTTGTAGGGTGGAAGATAGTTCATCACCCACAGACACTCGGAGACGGTTTTGCAATTCTGTCGAGAGTGGAAAGTGAGGCCTGGGTAGCTCCTGCTCATATATGGCAGAAGTACTCTATTTTTGGCCTCTTGTAAAGGTAGAAGATAGCATGAGGAGTCAGTTACTTACTGGAGCAGTACAGGAAATCGACCATTTTCCCAGCATCTTTATTGGTGGTAGATTGTATGCACGAGTTTCACTTGAGGTTTGAGTTGAGTCCCAATAAGCGCTGATGACATGGGGCCTCCCTGAGATAATATCCGTTCATCGCGACAGGTAGATTTTTTTTCCAGTGACGTTCACCCTGTACAAGGCCCGGGATGGGGACACTCGTGGTAGAGGGTTACGTTAGGAGGGAATTTGTGCGGACAGGGCTTGGGGTTAGCCCTATTATTAAACATATTGTAGGGATCGAGGAAACATCCTCTTGAGAGTTAGTTCCAGAGAGCAGTGGTTTGCAGAAAGAAGCTGTGGAACTTGCATCTCACCAATGGAATACAGAGGGAATGTGGGTGGTTTTCTACTGGGTAAGTGGCATTGCGTGTCCTTACTGTGAACGTTCCAACTGGCGGGACCAGGGAATATAGCTCTTCTGATCACTTTCCGTGGGAGTAGCGATAGAGCAATGAGAGGCTTGCCACATCCCGTCTGTGAGAGATGATGGAGAATAATTCGGCACCGACAAGGGATCGGAGACGCTTCTGGAGTCTATTAAGGCTGAAGAGTGAAGTCTGTGAAGCTCCTGTCCAAATATGACAATAGTACCTGGTCTGATCTGGCCCTTGTATAGATAGAGGATAGAAGGAGGAGTCAGGTACTACACAGGGACAGTCCCCTCATACCGGCACGTAAGGTGGGCCCATTTACATGCCATCTTTGGAACACATTGCAGGCGAATGACTTGTCATTTCTCTGGTACATTATTACTGAATGTTGTTAAAAATAGCCCCACAGAAGTGCATTGATATCAACCTTTCTTTCTTGAAGCAAATCTTAGCTGACACGTTTTTGCAAGATGCTATTTGCACAATCAGGCATCTAATCAGAGAGTGTGCTGCATACAAATCTCCTTGGGGATATGCAAGTTAATGGCTGACTTGGACAGAGTAACGATTGCACAGCTCAGCTTGATATTATTGGCAGTTATTTTACGCTGACAATGATAGGATGATACAGAGCAAAAATTCCAAACATTACTAAACTATTTCTATATGTTCTGCCTTTTAAGCAACATTCGATATTGTTAGCTTTATATTAAATAATACGTTTAACAGCCAAAAAGTGTTACGTATTTTAATTTTCTACTGACACCAGAGATCATTGGGAACAGGTTAAAGCCAATCTTAGAATGCTGATTTTTAAGATAGGAAGGCTTTACCCACTTCGAAGAGGGGTGTAACACAATCTGTTCACTCCTGTTCCTCTTATTTGTTCTGGTACCGGGACAGGCCTCAAGAACAAAGAGCACTGTCACTGTTGTTTTACATTTATCTTTGGCAAGCCTCATTGTTTTTTGGTGGGAGATGGAAGAGACGAAAAGGTGCGAATGTTATCGTACCAGCTATACTCTGTTCCGGATATATTGCAACTAACCAGCACACATCGAGACGGTGAAATGGTTAGCAAGCTAAGGCAATTACGACTAAGTAGTGAGTTCAATCTTCACTGGGTTGCCCCATACTTTCGGTCTTATGGTGCATCTAAGCTACGCTTGGAAAGTCAGATTCCTTCTTTTTACTTTTTTTTTTTTTTGACTCCGGCGAAATGTAACTCTGAATCTCTAACGGCCAGGGCATAGAACCTGTTTTTATCTATCGACAGGGGCGACTATCTTCTACTGATTGTGGGTGTAGACCATTCTGTTAATAAACTTTTCTGTCACTGAAATTGTCACGTAGAGTTTTTCTTCCGACAAAGAAGATTCTCTTGATAAAAATCTGATGCCCTGGGCTGGCTCGGTAGGGTTGCTAGATGAACAATAAGTATATTTTCTTTATTTTCCGATGTAGGGTCGAGCGATGAGAAATAAATCTATTTTGGATGACTAGGGAAATATTCGGATAATTTTTTACTCGCTCGGTCATTCGGAGATTCCGTCACGATGTCGCCATTTTTAAATTGAATTTATTGATTGATTCATTTTCTACGGCTTATCAACCCTTTGCAAGTTATTTAAATCCAGAAAATATTTTTAGATTGCAAGAATTTTTTGAGATAACAATGGTTTAATGATACAAATTTTACTAATTGGTACATAGCTGTGAAGAGGGGAGAGGTGGATTCATACGTTTCCCGAGGGAATATAATGAACCAAATAGTTTTTTTTTATATTTCCTTCTACTCTTCCGCCTTAACAAGCTGTTTTCTCTTCCTTCTCTTCTTTGCATTGCCCAATTCTGTTGGATTGTTTTGTTTACTGGCTTATCAACCTCTGTGCGTTATTTAATGCTGAAATCTAAATATTTTGTACGCAATTTTCTTTCTTTTTCTTTTTTGTGGATAATAATGGTTTTAGTGATACAAGTCTTACTAATTAACCCATAGATGGGGGAGAAGAGGTATATTCATACATTTCCCACTGGTATTTGCGCGTAAGTGAATATAACGAACCACACGGGAATTGGAAATCTGCTTTTCCAAACTTACAGCACCTGGTATATCTAAGCGGTCATCCATCTAGGTACTGACCAGGTTCGACGTTGCTTAACTTCGGTGATCGTACGGAAACCTATGTTTAATCGTGATACGGCCGTAAGCCTCTTAAATTAGGAATATTGTTTTCGAACCAGAATGTCTTAATAAAGCGTTTTATACCTTCTATTTAACCGTTCCGTTTGCTGTCTTTTACTATTATCAACTGTCTCTCTAAACTCAAGTTCATTTCTTTTGTATAACTAGTTCGTTCGCTCGAGCCATGAAGAATTATTCATACACTACTAAAATCTTGGGCGACATAGCCACTCTGTCACAAACAGACAGATTATATTATGTTGTATATTACAGTCCCATTGGTCTTTGATTTTTTTATGACTGACAGCAAATCTATTTTTGATGCTATTGCTTGGGCTTTGATGGAATAACAATTTTGTATTCATCAACATCATCTATCTATCTATATCTATTTCATTCTGTTTATATCTATCTTTTTATCTATTTCATTTATTTATTTCATCTTTCTTTATCTATCTATCTATCTATCTATCTATCTATCAGTTTATCATCTATCTATCTATCTATCTCCATTCATTTATTATCTATCTATCTATATCTATCTATCTATCTATCAGTTTATTATCTATCTATCTCCTTCAGTTTTCATTATCTATCTATCTATCTATCTATCTATCTATCTATCTATCTATCTCCTTCAGTTTATTATCTATCTATCTCCTTCAGTTTATTATCTATCTATCTATCTATCTATCTATCTATCTATCTATCTATCTATCTATCTAAAACTGACGTGCCAAAAAACATGACATTTCAGTATGTAAAAGTAATGGCAGATGGCACCAACACACCTTGATATCAAGGAGGGGCTCAGACGTATATCGCTTGTGTTCTGACATCTAGTGAGACAGCCAAATTTCCAAACTCGTAAAAATCCTTCATTCTACAAAGGTAGATAGGTTCGCCTATCGTCCAGCTCACACTCCTCCCCGGTTCAACTCTATACTCCTAAAGCTTGTCCTTACTTACACTAATACAACTCCACACAGTAACCCTCTATTTTGAATGGCTCTTGGGCCTTGTATTGTGTGAACATTAGTAGACAAAAAAAAGTTACTGGTTCAGGTAAAATCATTGTACCTGGCAAAATTGTTTAACCGATGCCTGAAAACAAATATTTCTCAAGTCTGTGTAACTTTTCAGCTGTTTGTCCTGGGTTCAAAAACTCCAGTGAGTGTTCATCTCCATTGCACTATCGCTCCATCAATCTCATTCGTGTCATGAGCAAAAAAGCCGGTAGCTAATCACCTCACCCGAAATAACCCCCTGTGTGACAAATGTGGGATGGATTTAATTCATTAACTGTCATCACCCACAGAATCAGTAAGTTGCTCGATAATAGATCTATTACCAGAGAGATTACTTTAGATATCTCAAAGGCTGTCGACAAGGTGTAACATGGGGGAGGGTTGCTGCACGAACTCATCAGCTCTGATTCGTGTTCTTTCTCTTAGGTAGGTTAAAGAGGTTTGTTATGAACTGGCTCGTCTTTTGAAGTTCGTGAGATCATTGTATGCGTACCAAAGGCTCTCCCCTCGGGCCTACTTTCTTACTGCTTTTTATTAAAGATCTTCCCAAGAACGTTATCAGATCACTAATGAATATCTATGCAGGTAATACCAATGCTTATGAACGCTCTTCCAAAAATCTAGATGATCGGGGACTTGCTTCTTTCTGACCAGTGGGGAAATAACTGGCTTGTTACTTTCAATACCCACAAAAGCAATCTTGTATCGTTTCTTCGTCGCCATTCATATCTCAAGTTTTCTCCAATCATGATGAACGATTAATCTTTCAGTAAAGCTCCATGGTTTGGTTTGGTTTATTTTGTTTTACGGCATATCAACCTCAATGGGTTATTTAATGCCGACAACATTTTAAGATAAGTTCGTATGAATAGAATATGTATTCTTTGTAAGAAATAACTTTGTAGATCAGTTTTCATTGACGTATTTTTGTAAAGATAGTTTTTGTCGAGAGTTAAATGTATTGCTCGTAATTTTTTTTTCAAAAATGTATTACTGGTAATATTTTTTTTCAAAATGTATTACTGGTAATATTTTTTTTCAAAATGTATTGCTGGTAATATTTTTTTTTCAAAATGTTTGCTGGTAATATTTTTTTTTCTAAAAATGTTTTGCTGGTAATATTTTTCAAAAAATATATTGCTTGTATTTTTACTATAAAATCTATTTTTATACTTTCATAGTCTTCTAACCCCAGTTTAGTGGGGGGTTAACTATTTGCTCAAAGCTGGGATCCTAACATTTGCTGCCACCCCGGGCCAAGCTAGACCTGGAAACAACAGCAATTAAAAGGTTTTGCTACCGGATGTATTTTATCGTCATACCTAGAACAGAAGCTCCATGTTTTGAACGTCTATTGGGCTTCAAGTTCACTCCAGACCCGCAAGGCGAACTTATATATACAATCCATTAATTAATAAAGAAGCTTGGAAAATGATCGGCTCACTTTTTCGCTCTACTGTGTTGTATCTTTATATGAGGCCAAAAATGGAGTACTGTTGTCATATTGTTTTAATATTTTCACGCCAAGCAAGGCAATAAAGTCACTAGGACGGAGGGGTTTCCCGAGTGAGAAAGAATATAAGAAAAGAACACCATTGTCAAGGAGCGAAAAAATTGCATGTAAATTTTTGAAGATCAACTTGACTGGAAAGCAAGAAGTCAGAACAGAGTTCTACAAGTGAGAAATGCGAAACTATTAGCATAGAACTTACGGTTATATCTAGTAATTTCAACTGTAAAATAATGAGACCTAACCGCCAATCTAGTACTGTTCTTAAATTCATAACGTCTAGGTACCGTAGAGGAAAGTTCATCAGAACAATTACCATGCAAGTAATTATAGAAAAGGCACAAGGAAGCTACATTACGGCGGTGGGAAAGGGACTGAAGCTTTAGACTGGAGTTGCTCAATCCTCACTTTCCACTCAGACAGCTTCTTAAAAAAAAAACTGCAATTTTGGGGAACAGACTCTCGCGTACTCCAAACACCTATTGACCTTTTCAAGTCAAGTGTCAATTGTTATCTATCTTTTCTCATAATCTCTACTTCCTACTACCTCTCACACACCTCATTTACCATTGCCATTTAAACTTCTACCTCGAGAGGCTCTTAAGCCTTGTATTAGGTAATATGTAGTAAAAAAGAAAGACAATTGTTTCACCAATAACAGGCTTCATCAGAAAAATGAATTTTCATCTGAACAAAAGCTACAGTAACGCGACAAAACATGATTCATATTAACGCTTGGTTTTTATTTTAACTGTATCTTTTTAGAATTTAAACTGCAATTAATTCAACTCAGTTTTTCATTTTATTTATTTACAAATGTATTCATTTATTTTATGATTTACATATCCCACATTGTTTCAGTACTAATTTAGTAAGAAATAAGCCGGATGTATATTAAGAAAAAGGGATGTAATTAAAATAAGCCGGTTGTATATCAAGAGAAAGGGGAGCAATTAAAATAAGCCGGTTTTATATTAAGAAAAGGGGATGTAATTGAAATAAGCCGGTTGTATATTAAGAAGGAATGCAATTAAAATAAGCCGGTTGTATATTAAGAAAAATGAATGTAATTGATATAACGCGGTTGTATATTAAGCGTAGGTGATTCATGCTATTTTCAATTTTCAGTTGGAAAATGCCGTTTTAATAATAAAAAAGAAGAAAAATGAGTATTCAGACGAAGATGCATTGAAAGTATCGCCATCTTTAATTTCCCTACGATAGATATATGATCAGCTTATCGCTTGTTCTTTCTAGATTAGTATTGAAACAAAGTCGGATTAAGCATTAAAAATAAATGAATAAAAGAATAAAGTAAAAATCGACCGTTCATATGCTTCACGTGAATTACGCTTTGTCTCGCTAATGCAGATTTTGTTCAGAAAAATATTCTTTAACGAAAAATGAAGTATTCCAAATTGTCTTGCTTTCTTTACTAATTCTTTTTGTATATATTTACTATTGTCGGATTATCATTCAAACTATATAGACTTAATTTACCTTTTATATATATATATATATATATATATATATATATATATATATATATATATATATATATATATATATATATATATATATATATATATATATATATATATATATATATATATATATATATATATATATATATATATTTATATATATATATATATATATATATGTATTTCTACATATATATATATATATATATATATATATATATGTAACCTGGATTTAAGAAACCCGGATATAAGAGAAACCCGGATATAAGAGAGATTTTCTCAGATTCCAAATTAGAGCCTGTGTTAATGTATATATAATAGACCAAACCCGGATATAAGAGAAACCCGGATATAAGAGACTTCTTCTCCGGTCCCGACAACTCTCTTACATCCGGGTTACACTGTATGTATTTCCACACACACACACACATATATATATATATATATATATATATATATATATATATATATATATATATATATATATATATATATATATATATATATATATATATATATATATATATATATATATATATATATATATATATTTCTACATATATATATATATATGTGCATTTCTACATATATATATGTATTTCTATATATATATGTTACATATATACATATATATATATATATATATATGTATTTCTATATATATTTCTACATATATATACATATGTATTTCTACATATATATATATATATATATATATATATTTCTACATATATATATATATGTATTTCTATATATATATATATTTTACATATATATATATGTATTTTATATATATATGTACATATATATATTTATATTTACACATATATATATATATTTCTACATATATATATATATATATATATATATATATATATATATATTTATATATATATATATATATATTTCAACATTATATATATATATATATATATATATATATATATATATATATATACATACAAATATGTTTTGAATAATATTGACAAGTTCTGTCTATCCA